CCCGCCCCCCGGCCGGCGGGAGCCGTCCTCGGGCTGTGGCACGCTCTGCCCCAGAAGCGGCCGTATTTTGTGACCCGTCTCTGTTTTGCATCGGTCCTCCGGGGTGAAGGCGCGCACTGGGTTTGAGCTGCAGCGTTTGGCATCTGGGCTGCAAAGTCTGGCTGGCTGCAGAGCTCGAGCCGGGCCTGGTGCTTCCCTGCAGGCCCAGGACTGGGTTGGCGTTTCTGCTGTGCATGTTGCTCCCTTAATGCTCTGTTAGGCAGAATTATTTTGGACACTTGTGGCTTTTACAACAGCTGTAGTCAGGCCTAGCTCACTCGTTGTCAGCCGACAAGTTTGGCATCTGGGCTGCAAAGTCTGGCTGGCTGCAGAGCTCGAGCCGGGCCTGGTGCTTCCCTGCAGGCCCAGGACTGGGTTGGCGTTTCTGCTGTGCATGTTGCTCCCTTAATGCTCTGTTAGGCAGAATTATTTTGGACACTTGTGGCTTTTACAACAGCTGTAGTCAGGCCTAGCTCACTCGTTGTCAGCCGACAAGTTATGACTGATGTTTTCATAATCAAGCCGTTTGGTTCTCCTCCCCTGCTGAGGTTTTCCTGTGCACCAGAGCCTCTTCCCCAGCAGCCGACTGATGGTTCAGGCTTGCTGTGCCATTTTTCTTTGGCCAAGCTGGTTTTGACCTGGACCTAGGCCCTGATCTAGTGATTCTGAAACTCTTGAGATGGCCTAAAAAAGGGGGTGAGATGGGAGTGGGGCAGAACTACCTAGTTCAGCTATTCTTCCAGCTTGTAGTGAGCTCAAATATTTATTTTATTACTGTTTTTTTTTTTTAAAGTTTGGAGGGAAAAACACCAGCATAATTTCAAAATGCTCAGGAGTGCAACTAGAGCTGTAAAAGTATGTTTAAGTGCAACGCAACTGAATGCAGGGTTTATTTATTCATCCATTCATGCTGTTTCAGCTGTGAGTTTCTGGAAGTGCATTCAAATGGGAGGAGGGTGACTGCTGCCAGGTGCCTCAGTCACATACTGCCCAGCCGTTCCCAGACGGGCTCGCGGCAGGAATGAGCCCCGGGGCCAGGGAGCGCGGACTCTGCCGCACGCCCTGCGTAGGTGCAGAGCAAGTGTGTCCATCGAGACATCCTCCTGGGAGCGAGGAGGGGTTTGGGCTCTTCGATACCAGAAAGACCTGCCTGGCTTTTGGGTTTGGATTTTAATACCCTGCCCTAGGAACGGCTCGAGGAATAGGGGTTAACCAATTCTTGCTGCGTTCCTGTTGGGTTGTTTCTCTTCTGACAAGCTGCTGCTGCCCCCAAACCCTCTCTCCTTCCAGAGTGCTCCTGTTCCCCCCTCTGTCCAGCCGCCTCCGGTACCTGATCCATAGGACAGTGGACAACGTGGATTTGTTAAGCAGCTTTTCTGTTGGGGAAGGATGGAGGAGGAGAACGGTTATCTGTCACTCGGCCATAAGGTACAGTGCAGTAGATGTAACAGCTCTTCTCTTTTTATGGCTCTTGGGTTTTTTTGTAAGCGTACAAGCATGAAGTTTGCATGCTGCTCCTCAGCTAAGAGGAGGGTGTCTGTTATTAACAGCACCTGTCACTAACTGAGGAATTTGAGGCTCTTTCCTATCTGCTGACTTCTGTGCTGATCTGATCCTTGGGCCCGTTTTCCTCCTCTCTCCCTTTTGCAGACATCTCGGGACTTAGCTAGCTGCCTCTGCTTCCCCCTCACTTCCTCTCTTCTCTTGGTCCTAGGCTGCCTGATGAGGCCAGCGACCAAAACCCCGGCAACAACGCGTCGAGGCCGCAGCGGCCTCCCCAGCCGCGGGGCCGAGGAGGCCGAGCCCCCGGGCCGCGTCACGGCGTGGAGGTGCCTAGGGACGCGTGTCGAGCCAGCGGAGGATCCGGCAGGATAAAAAGGCCACCCCGGAGGAAGCCAGACAAAGCCCTGTACGTCCCCAAGGCGATGCGCAAGAAAGCAGAACGGGTGGAGAGCGAGAGCCCGGGGGTGGCTGGCACCGAGTCAGGCGGGGATGTGGCGCAAGGAGAAGAGATCTGCCCTAAAGCTTCCGTCAGCGGTGCCCAAGGCGAACTGGACAAGTCCGAAGGCAGCACGGAGTCCGACGCAGCAGCCGGTGGTGTCTCTTTGGCCCTTGGCAAGGAACAGGATGTGGGAGAAGCTGACAAAGAGTCTGTTTCAGGAAAAAATGATGATAAAAATGACGACCGTCCTGCCTGCTGCATGGATGTCCCGTTGCTAGAGAGTAGTAATGACCTCCCTGGGCAGGAAGGTCAGGATAAAGACTGTTCAGATTCCTTTGCTTCTGTACACAACGAAAACCTAAGTGAAGCGGAAGAGCAAGCTGAGAGCTGTGACAACACTATTAAATTGGAAGGTAGCAAAACCCTGTGCCAGCTGCAAGCTCAAGACCAAAACAGCAGGGATGCTGGTGTACTGGAAGGCAGCAAAAACATCTCGCTATCAGAAAGTCGCAGCAGTGACTACTGTACAGACATTGCTGCAGCAGAGTCTAGTGCAACATTAGTGCCGGTGGAAACCCAAGATAAGAGCTGTACTGCTGCCAAGATACTGGGGAGTGGCAAAAACCTGTCGCCGCTAGAAGAGCAGAGCAAGGACTTTGTGAATGCTGGCACGTTGGAGCTGAGCAAGAGTTTTTCAGAACTGGAAAGCCAGGATCAAGACTGCCCCATTATCACCCAGGTGGAGCATAACCAACACCAAAACTCCCCAGAAACCGAAGATCAGCAGCTGACTGCACCCAAATCAGTCTGTGGTGAGAACCCACCAGCTCCTGACATCCAGAACCAGTGCGGGGTCGATGTTTCTGTGCAAAACCACGGCAGAAAGGTATTCCTGCCAGGAGAAGGGGACAAGGAGTGTTCGGGCTTGGCTGATGCGCTGTGGCGTGAGCTGCAGTTGTCTGCAGGTGATAAAGATGAAGAGAACCCAGCCATCCATGAGCAGAACAACTTTGAGGATGACTGCACCACTGAGCTCTTGGAAGAGGTAGTGTTTTGCCACAGGCATTGCCTTAGGGAATGGCTTGGGGGAAAAGAGGAATTGGCCCTAAAAAATTAGTCCGTGGGAGGAGAGTCCTTGTGCCAGGACTGTTGGAGGTGTTTGCTGAACCTGCCTGTTGGCAGGAGCGTGGCAGCAGGAGTGACACGGAGGGGCTGAAGCGGGGCCTGCAGAGGCCCTCTCCTGGAGGGTCACCATTTGAAATGAGTTCTTGCCTGATGGATGCCTGACTGCTCTTTGAAATGAGCTTGTAGCTCTTGGTCCGATTCCTTGGCAGAGTATAGCCCAGACTGGACTAACCGGGCTTGCTCATGGTGTTTTTGGCAGGGTGGTCAGGACTAACCCTCCCGGGGCAGGGGTGAGATGCGCAGAAGGTGACATGCCTATGGGAAAGGTGGTGAATCAGTCCCAGATTCCCTGATCTGTGGTGGTTGTGCGGTCCTCGTTCCTCTAGCAGCATGCCTCTTGCTCTTTTGTGTCTTTATTGGGATAATTTCCCACCCTCTCCCCATAGCGCAGGGAAGTGGTTAGCCATATTGTCTAAATGGGAGCAAAACTGCTTTCTCAGATGTGTGCAGGGCTGGTGGTAGCCGAAGTAACAGTTAAAGGCTCACACCCTTTCTCCCGTGCTGGTCTGAAATTGGTTTTCCATAACACTGTGCTTGCAAAGGATCAGGTATCTATGTTTGTACACTTCTGCAGTGTTTAGAAATAGCGCTTTTATAAACAGTGTTGTTTTTGAATCTTCCCAGATTGCAACTTATTTAACTGTGAAGGACATAAGCATTGAGAAGATCAAGTTTGATTATTCCAGTTATGGAGATGCACAGCTCAGCGAAGGGGACTTCGGACACGTAATTGAAATCTATGACTTCTCCCCATCGCTGAAAACGGAGCACCTGTTAGAAATGTTCTCTGAGTTCCAGTAAGTACCTCTCTGAGAGTCGAAGACGTCAGGGGATGAAGTGAACAGTATTTGTACTTGAATGCCCGGCAGAAACCCTTTTCAACAGTCACTGAAAGAATCCGATGATGCTACATGGCATTTTAATTTTGCCTTCATGTTCTTGTGTTTTATACTCTACCTGTGCTTTAATCTAAAGGACGTTTTTCTGCATTTGATGCATGATTTTAAAATGTCACAGGTTCTGTCATGCTCACACTTATCTGTGTGCGGGCTTGTTCCTACTGCTCTGGCTTCGGTGGGAGTCTTTAGGTGGTGTTTTATGGAAACCTCTCTACAGCGTCTCAGTGCCTGAGTGATATTGCGTGCTTACATAAGTGTTTGCAAAGAAAGGGCCCAATCCTGCTGTTGGAGATAAGATTTATTATGTAAGTGTGGGGAACAGAGAGAGCACTGCCCTTAAGGGACCAACATTGGATTTCTAGCAGAATAAGAACAAAGTTCAGCCATGCTTTAGCGATAAAGCTGTACTCAGTGCAAGTCTAAATTACTGTGTCGCTTCTGCAAGATTGCCTAGACATGGTATCTGTAGGTACATAGCCTCATTGTTGTCCTCCTCCTCTCTTGATATACTTGATGGATTAGACATGAACGCCTCACCTCTTTTGAATTTGAGGGATCTGTAGCAATAGTTAAATTTTAAATAAGCTACTGTCTATTGTAATTTTTTAATGGATTTCTTCTGCTGCCTCAGAGTGAAACTGGGCTGAAAATTGACCCATCTCATTTGAGCAGTCAATTGTATTTATTTCCTGTGCTGCAGGAAAACCTTTGAACTCCTTGCTCCCAAACTCAGATTTTCCACTGATGTGTCATTAGAGTCCCCCTTCCCTTCCCCTCCACCATAGGTCTCTCCATCTTAAGCTTTGCAAACAACTTTTAGAAATCATTTGCTTATCTGAGCAATCGGGTAACGTGTGTAAAGCATTGTATAAATGATAAACAGTACTTAGGTATTCCAAGACAGTCCCTGAAATTGAAGTTTGACTTCCTCTAAGAGTTTCTAAAGAGGAAAAACAGAGTTCTTGAGGGCACCTGATAGAGGGTTCATAGATTGTGACTTTGATAGGGGCACATTTCTTCTGATTATTTCCCCTCATGTAAAATGGGTATAATAATGCTTTGAAAAACACTAATTGTATATGGATAAAAATACTAAATACTCTTGATAACTCAAGGTGGCTTACGCGTTTTATTGTGTGACTTTTTTTTCCTATCAGTAAATATTGTTCTCTTCTCCTCTCATTTTAGTGAGAGCGGATTCAAAATTCAGTGGGTCGACGATACTCATGCCCTGGGAATCTTTTCCAGTCTGGCAGCAGGTAGCGTGACCTGGTCCTTGGCTGCGATTGAGGAACCTGCAGCGTTGCTGGGATTTCACTGCTGTTGCACAGTAACTGCACTGATGATGCAAGTTTGCAGCGTGCATCTGATTATTCTTGCGCTCAGCCTAAGCCATTGCCAAAGGCAGTCATGGTTCATCACCTCTTTCCTCATATGCACTTCAAACTTGAAATGCTTTTAAGACCTGTGAAGCGGGAATTGCTGTGTGTTGTGAGCAAACTCCGCTTTGCAAGAACAACAGGTTTTTAATTGGCTTGGGTAATAAAGAGCCAATGCAGATGCTTCTGCATAGAGCTTCATACAGATGCTTTCTGCATGAAGAGCTACTCTGACTTATGCTGCCTTTTTTAGAAATTCACCTGTTTTGCCATTCATTCTTTTTCTCTTATAACTAGACATGATTCCTGCAAGCATACAACAAAAGGTGCTCGTGACCTCTTGGGGGACGCTATGAGTGCCAATGAGACGCAGGTCAGACACTGAGCCTCCTGGCAAACTGGCCTGTTCAGGGCAAACACTTTAAGCTCAAATCAGAGCATTCCCAAGAGAAGTTTCCATCCAGCAGTTTATGAGCGTACATGGTCTGAAAGCACATGCTCTGTTCTTGTTGTTTGGTCTAATAATGCATAATTTTTAAAGCTTGTTTTATGTTTGGTTGGCACTCTTTCCTATGCAAGGAATATGTGATCTAACCCTGAGGTGACCAGACTAAATTCAGCTGTTTTTTAGTATAAGTACTGATTAGCTGATGCAGCTCAACTTAGTGTTAACGTATCCTGTACTGATTCTTACATGGTTAAAGTTACCAAAATTCAGCCCGTTAACTAACTAACTTCAGCAATCTTTATTCTTTAAAGCATCTCAAGCTCTGGGACGAAGTTATCCTTCTTTAAAGATTCGCCCATTGATCCATGGGACGAGACAGTCTAAAATTAAGGCGCTTCAGCGACCAAGTAAGAGAACTGTTTGTTATTTTGTGTTTTCTTCCTCCCCTCTCTCGTTGTTTGCCTATCTATGTCCTGAGTGGTCATGATGACTCGTTAAATGGGGAAATACATGTTGAGGACCATTATTATTATTTTTATAGCTTTATTAGAGAAGAGAGAACAAGCTGTTGTGACTTATATACAATCTTTAATAAGAGCCTGCTGCTGCATATTTTTTTGTTTTAAACAGTATTTTCAGTCAACTTGTAGCAGGGATATGTTGAAACATACTTATAATGTTGGCTTTTGCTCTGACAGCCAAAATAACTGTTTGCAGCAGGCATGAATGAATAGCACAGGTAAATCTGATGGCAAACGGGTTTGTAGAACGAGAGTGGGTTATATATTACTTACAGGAAAGATAACTACAGATGTTATTTATGCTTAAGCTTTCAGTCTTTGTCCTCTGCTATAATTTAGCTACAGTAAGACAGAATCAAAGCATTAAATGCTGTTGCTTTTTGTTTATTCTTCAGCACATGGCTAAACGGTTTGCTGAAATTCAGGCTTAGTTTTTCTTATATCACTCGCTTGTGTAAAGTCTAAGCGAACAGTTATGCTGTTGGGAAAAGAGGTCTATTTGTAGTAGCAGTTGTGGGAAGACAGAGGTATGTCAAACACCACAGGCTTGCCCAGGGACTTGCGCTGTTCTATTACTCTGCACTGTTAAAGGTAATAGATAAGACAAAAATCAATAGCAGTTGCATTTGGTGGTTGGCATAGTTGTTTTATTCAGTATCAGGTGAAGAAAAAATTGTTAAGCTTAGCCATTAACATTTTTTATTTATTTTATTACCTTTAAAAATCATACTGTAATCAGTTATACCTTGCCACAGTAAAGAAATGCCATGAATCTTGCAGCAATAGACACTTTGCTGAACATACAACTATACTGTTCTTTCTACAGTACATTGCAGTTGAAACAAATTTCAGTATTAATGATTCAAAGGGACACTGTCACAGTTAGAATTTCCTGAGTTTTTAAGATTGCTAGATTTAAATTAAATGTCAAGGAATTGGATTTGCTTTTGCACTCTCCTTTTCACATCTGTTTTTATTCGATCTCGCTTCCTGATTCCCTTGCTGTAGCCTGTTGGCACATCTGTGAATCAGGTTGCAAACTCCTCCAGGGGAAAGCATATGTATATAAAACTTTGTTTGGCTTCAGTTAAAATAGCAAATTTTTCCCAAATACAAATTTGGATCTTAATTAGCTGACAGTGTCTCTTCTTTATTAAGAAAGAGCTTTGTCAAGAAAGATTGGCAGATTTATTTTCCAAGCTGTGGATGCTTTGAGTCTGTCCCTTTTTCTTTAAGCTGCTGATGGGCTGCCTTTATTAATAAAACTTCTGAAAAAGCAAGCAAAGCCCTCATTGCTAACTGGATAATGAATTTGCAAACAGTTGCTGATACACGATTATATAGTAGCCAAATCCAGACTGTTTTGGACTTTGTAAAGTTTTGGTATATGGCTTTCTTGTAAGACGAAATTGTACCAAGCCAGATGATTACCAGAAAATGGCGGTTACTGGTCACTCCTAGGCAAAGGGCTTTCCAAAAGCATCTGATACATTTAGCCTTTTTTTTTTTTTTTTAAATGCAGCTGTTTTTCCATTACTGCTTTCAGTCAGGCTACATTGAGATCAAACTTTGTGTGAATAAATTTATTGGGCTGTGCCTTCATTTTGTTCTCAGTGACTTCACTTGCTGAATTGTGCCAGGAGTGGATATGAAGCTGTTCCTGAAAGCTAATTGGGAACAATATTCTCTACCACAGCAGAACAGGGCTGGCGCTTAATCACATCTAAATACATTTGTAACTGTCATTATTGCATCTAATTAAACTTTTTCAGGTAAATCTGAGCTATATGAAATCCAGAAGCATGTCTGTCTTTCTGAAAAGAAAAGACAATTTAAGGGATAGAGGTAGAATGATTTGCTCATGGTCCTAGGCTGCTTTGGTAAAAGAGCTGTGAAAATAGAAATCAGCCTTTCCGTCTGCCAGTCCTGTGGTTTAACCACAAGACGCTTCCTGAACAAGCTCTAACCTATTCATGTTCACCTCTTTTTATCTAGAGCTCCTTCAGCTTGCGAAAGAGAGACCCCAGACCGACACTGCGGTGGCGAGGCGGCTGGTGACCAGGGCGTTGGGACTGAAGCACAAAAAGCAGCGAGTCTCAGGCAATGAAGCGCTCCTGCCAGAAAGCTTGGACCAGGAAGAGTAAACCATGTCAGCTAGACGCGATGTATAGATGAGCATGGCTGTGATATTAAACTGCATGCAGAACAGTGAGTTGCCGCTGGGATGTTCTCTTATGGGTTAGTACCGGCATTTTCTTTCTAAAGGTGGGGAGGGGAAAAGTTTAATGAGCTATTGAGCTGTAGAGAAGCAGGCCCTGTGCGTGTTACCGACCATTAACTAGCTCTGCGTTGGGCAGAGCACCTCTCTCCTACTCTGTTTCAAGGTGGCTATTGCCCACTGAGGCACTCGCAGGAGCCCAAGGCTGCTTATTTAAAAAAAAAAAAAAAAACAAACCCTGCTTTATAAAGCTTAAAAAAATGCACTAGACTAAGGGAATTGTATGTTGTTGGGCAAAGTTCAGCTGTAAGCAAGAACAGTTTAAGGTTTACTTTGTTGTAATATTTTTGTTAAAATATCCCACAAAACTGACAGCATTGAATACAAGTGAGTTTCAAGGATTTTTCTTATTTACATAGTATTTAAAGGGCCTGACTTGCTCTTTTGCACCATTAGTAAGGAAAGTTGTCATCCACCTGATTAGGAAAAGAAAACTAGAACTTGACAGTTGCTTGATTTGCGTAGAGCCCATGTTAAGAGATGCTGTGAGACACCTTGTTGCAGCAGCAGCAACAGAGCATCCAACATATCTCAGACTCTGCTTTTGCTACACAGTCCTGCATCTTGAGAACAAAATGGAGTTTTCCAACTTACAGTAGGCTACAAACCTTTGCTAGATGCCACCAATCTGGGCCACTGGATAGATCACAGAAATACTCTGACAGGCATTAGCAAAAGACTTCTGCGTTCTTTAAGCCTCACAACATCCCTGTGAGGTAGGTTATGGAGAGAAAAAGTTAGACACAGCCAGTTTCAATCCCTCTGTGGATTGAAATGGTCAGCTATAAATTATTCTTTTAATTTTAGCTGCTTGTAGAAGTCTTCTGTACAAACACAGAGGGAGAGAAAACTTTAGTACCGGGAAAGTGAACAAGGCCCTCAACTTTCACAGAGTGGAAATACACAAATGGCACGTAAAACATTTTTCTGGGTAAAATGGATCTTTTTCAAGTATCTGTGTCTGAAAATCTGTAGCAACGTGTGTCCTCAAACAAACAGAGGAGCACACTTAGCACCTTTACAAACGTACCAAGTGTAAAAATCCTTTTAAAGACAACTTACACAGGTGGTCTGACAGCACAGGTCTAGATCCCTGATGATGAAAGCCATGGAGTTACCTCTGTAAGGTACAGTGACTGATACAATGCCTTAACTCTGTTCATCCTTTAAAGAAAAGACAGAGTGAATATCCAGCTTAAAAGGTAACGTTTAGATGTACGTACAATCTATCAGGTGAATAGCTTACTGAGTAAAGGAAATTCACAGTCCAGCAGACTCACCACCAGGAGATCTGCTAAGTCTTCTAGATGTTACAATGCAGTTGTATAGATGTTATAATGGAGTCGTAGCTTCGTGGAGCTCTGATGTGCTTGTAGAAACCAGTTCTGCATTAGCTGCTCCATTTAAGAGGTTGTGCTGGGAGTGGAATATCGAGTACAAAAGTTTCACTGCAGTATTAAATTACACTTTAGACTGTTCTGCTCAAAAAAGCTGCTCCAATTTTGTTCCTTTCCTGTATTTCTTTGCTAAAATGGAGTAATCACATGGCAGTACTGAGGATTAGCTGTGTTCAAGAAGCAGCGTCACAAGTGGAGGCGTTTGCATCAATGGTGCGTTCAAGCCTGAGTCAAAGAGCTTAAAGATACCGAGAATAATGCCTTGAAGAAAGTGAATGGTAAAGACATATTTAGGTTGTTGGTACCCAAACAAAGCCGAACTGTGCTTGCTGCAGCCTGGACCTACATACGTGAATAAATATGGCACTGCAAAGTGAAGGGAGGAATCGTTATGGAATAGGCTGAAACGGTGAAGATCTGGAGCCAAGTGGAATTTAAAAGCCTGCCCCAAACCACCTCAGTAGTAGGGACTTGAGTTATAAGAGACACATGGTGGTCCAAGCACCTGAAATTGGAGGGAAGGCACCTTGTGAAAATAATTTACCTTGCTAATTTGGAGTTTTGATTTTTTGCTTGATTTTCTTTTTTGTGCAGTGGTTCGGGAAATCACCGAAGCAGGAAACCTTGCTTCTTTAAATAGTGGGGTGGGAGGCAATGCGGGTCTATCGGCTGGACACCTTGTTATTTGTGAGTCCGCTGAAGTGATCAAACTTCTGTTCTGTTTCTTCACTGAAAGAGCCACCTGGGGAGTTCACAGAGAGAACACGCTCTTAGTCAGGAGGCAGCAAAGCAAGCCTGCAGCACGAGGCAGGGAACACCGTGGCTTTTTCCGTAATCGATGTAAGAGGCTGTGAAAATGAAAGGCTCAAAGCAACTATTAGAAGAGTGAAGACTTGCATGGGATAATTTAAGCATTAATGACATTTTGCTGTAATCAGAACAGCCATGAGCCCACAGGAGTACTCGGTATAGTCCTGTACATATTTGGGAGGCTAGACTACAGACTACCCTTGATTTTCCTTTGTTGTTTAGAAAGTTACTTAAGTTATGACCAGCAGAATCTGTGAAATGGTTTCCTCCTTGGGGCTGCGGCAGTAAGTGGGTTCTGTTTACTCTGTTCTTAACCAGGACCATACCCTTACTTTTTTGCTTATTGAGAGACAATAAAAGCTAAACACAATTTTTTTGAAATAGAACTATTTTCAAGCTCAGCTAGAGAGTCAGCCTCACACTTCAATGCTTGTTCATCCAACTGCCTTGGGTTTGCGGTTTCTGAACTAGGTCACAAAGCTGTAGTGTGACACACAAGACAAGTATTTTCTTAAAAGCAACAAACTAATGAGAAAAATCAGTGGCTACATGGAATTTTTTCCAGGAAAAACACTTCTTGAAGAACTTCAGCCACTTCTGGAAATTGTCCTTATGGCTTTAACAGCAGCTGCTCGTCTACATCCTAATAATTTATTTTCCTAATTGAAAACAGTTAATCTTCAAAAGCCCCCAACTTATTTTCATTTTAAAATGGTCCTGACAATTGACTGTTAAATTTAAACACACATTAAAGTTAGAGCTTTAAAAGCTCTAAGACAAAATAAGCCAGATGATGAGATTTAGATATATTCAAGAAAATAGGCAGCTGCTTTCCAAGTGACAGCAGGGCACTTTCATTTCTGGCTTGAGCAGAGGGCTCTTCTCCACTGATCTGCTTTGCCTATCACAATTCTTGCTCGCTTTTCAAGGAAAGAGAAGCAGCTTTTGGGTCTTAAGAGGTCAGTCCCAGGTTGGTAATAACTTGAGTCTGAGCAGAACTCATTTTTATTTGCCTGGGCTCGACTCAGGCACTCTAAACAAATCCTCAGATTGCACCAGAGCCTTCCTCATGTCTGACAGTCTCTAGAGAAAAAGCTCTTTTCTTGCAGAACAAGAGATGCACTACTGGAACATCTGTTATCCCTGCTCTACCAAGCCTGAACAAGAGGGATTTCTTTTGGCTCTTGGTCAGAAAGCTGTTTTACCAGTGTTGTGCTTGCTGCTCCAGTCACATTAAGTAATGAACCGTTCCACGCCCCGCTCGGCCATAGCGGTCTTTGCGCCGGTCACAGCCTGACCCTACAGCAGCAGCACTCTGAGTCTGTCTCAATAGCTCATTTTTTCAGGTACGTGCAAACTGAGAAACAGCGTAGGAACAGTTTGCCCACAGAGGCACTGGATTCCTAGTGAAAAGGGTCAGCGATGCCGTTTGATCAATGCCTAGGCATTAACTTTCCATGCAGATGTTTCTCTCACCTATGTGGCAGTTGTACATCCAGATGCGCTGTCCATCATACCGGCACCTGCATTTCATCACATTATTTGAATAATCAGATTCAGCAACTTCATAGTTTGGGTTGATGACGACCTTGGGAATGACAGAGAAATGCAACAAAGTTATTTAAAAGTGGATTGGGTATGACACTGCTTCTATCTCAATCTGACTAATAAGTGTTTTGATTACATCATAATACTTTCTTTTTAGAAAAAACTAACTCCTTTTCCAAGGAGACAAACTACTTGATTAAACGCAGATCAAGATCACACCTTCCCCCATATACCGAGACATACCCTCAAAAAGCTTATCTACATTTCACAAGATAGCAGAGAAGACAAAAATAATTCTTCTTCCCCTCACTCCTCTACCGTTTAGGTGGCAGTTTTTAGATGCAAAGAATCCCCCCTCCACCCACTTGCACAAAACAGACTGTAAGCACAGGCTTGACTTCTCAGGCAAACAACTCAGGAATAGCACTGTTAAATCCCCCAATGAAGCAAACGTTGCTTACAGGCAGCCAAAAGGCTTGGGACAAGACAACAGTAGGATGCTGTGCACATATATCTAATGTGACATGTAATTTAATGTGTTATTAGTATTAGCTGCACCTGGATTCCTTAAGACTATCATGTTTAAACATAAGTTTATTGGACCTGATTTTTTTCACTTGGAAGTATGTTATCCACTAACACATTGTTGTCCTGTCAGGTAATTCTTTACCTTTCAGGTATCCTGGGAATATAACCTTTTTATAAGCAGTAGTTTATGGTACTGTAGGAGATCTACAAATTAACTCATTAGTTACATTCCTGTCATCCCTAATGGATAAGATAAAAAGCAATGTCAGTGTCCCAAGCCCTCTTCCCCCCGCCCCCCCTTACCTGGAAGAGGTAATCGCCTGGTGGGGTGTCAGTAATATCAATCCATTGGCAGTCGATGTCGTGACGATACACATCCCAGCATCCAACCGTGATTCCTTGTTCACCAAAATTGGCACATTCGTACTGTTTTTGCACATCTGAATAAGAAGAGTTAAAAGCACAAAGTATTGGATTCACAGCAAGTCGGACTGGGGATTTCCCACCCTGGCTTAGACACAAGGAAAGAACTAGTTGTTCTTCCACTCCCCTAGATAGTGAGAAGTCAACGCATGATATATTCAATGAGCTCTGCTACAACATTCCCTTGCTCATAATGTCTTATATTTAAATACGTGTCCTGGTTAAACGCAGAAGAAAAACAGCAGCGCTTCCTATCTCATCACCCAGAGGTGAGTTTTGGGATTTCTCACTTTATAGGAATTAGAAAATGCAAACTCAGATTTTCAGAGCAGCTCAGAATAAGTGTGGAAGGAGCTGAGGTCTGAAGATTGCAGCACATAAGATCTTCTTGGATTTTCTTAGACCTCACAGACTACTCCATATGTACATACCCCCTCAGGCCTGGTTCCAGCTCTTGTCAGGCCACGCTCTAGCCCTGCTTAGGAATTTGATAGCGTCTTTGAATCCTGTCATCTTTATGGGGACAGCAGCAAACTCCCAGCACAAAGGGGCTCCAGCAAATATACCTGCTTCACATTCGGTGTCTTCCAGACAGAAACTGGCTTTGTGTCCTTCAGCGATCTTGGTTCCATTGAGGTTCAGTAGGTCATAGTGGGTAAAAACCTCCATGCTGTGGTAATGCCTGCAAGACACAGAGGGAGACTTATCTTTCTTTAGAGATGGTGACTAAAGCGGTGGCTGTTTTCCTTAAAGTGCTGTGCAATCCTCCCAGCAGAGATGGTCCAATGGTTAGAGCGCAAGGACTTGGATTTGAGTGGCCCAGACTCTACTCTCTGTGCTGCTCCATCCTGTACGCCAATCATTTCACATCCCTCTGCCTCAGCTCCACTGTAGTGGGGTAAATGCACGACGGAGCGTGAAGTGCTGCTGACAGAGATGCTATAGGAGGAAGAGCGAGAGAAACCACAGCCAGGAAACGTTCTGCTAAGCATAATCCTATGTGGCACCATCACCCCTATTGCCTTCATGCTGGCTCCTAGCCCAAATATTTGTTTACATATCAAGTGCTAAAGCTGCTCCAGGAGAGCGCCTTGCTCCAGCCTTCTTAGGATTGCAGCAATGTTTTATACTGGAAAGGGAAGGGAAACAAATCAAAGCCATCATCAGCCAGGTCATCGTTTCTAGTGACCCTGTCATTTTCCAGAACAACAAATATTGCATCTGCTCTTTAACAACAGGCTCTAAACAGAGCAGAATTTACCCAGACTAGCAACCTGGCTGGGGGGGAGGGAAGGGTGGTTGGTTTTTTTCTTTTAAGAAACAGAATGCAAATTTATTGGCAGAAGACTAACAACAGATGGGATCAGCTTCTCTCAGCGCTCCCTTCACTCAGATCTAAACAACACGACAGCTGGGTTCTCACACGATACGTTCCATAATTTTAACTGGGAATCGTTAGTGTCAACTCAACCTGGGCCGCATTGCAACCAGAAACGCTCCAGCACTGTTGAGCGCAGCAACAGTTACAAGAGAGCGTGTAATCAGTGTTGCAGACCTCTACGAGCAAAGTTAGACCGCGGCAGTTTGAGGGATGTTGACCTTCTCTATGTCACGCTGCTGGTTCAGCAAAACATCTCACTAAAATTAAGCCTGTACTTAAGTCCGGTTGAAGTCCAAGGGACTTCTAGGGCTTTGCTGAACAGGAAGCAGATGGTAGTACCTGAGTAAAACTAAGATGTGTGCTCCACTAGTCAGGGCTGAGAGCACGAGCTTGGTCTTGCTGATGTAACACGTCTGAATTTGATCCCAGCCTTGGAACGGGGAGAAAACCCACAGCGCTGGTATGCTGTTCGAAACGGGAGTACAAACACCGGCGCTGAAAGCAGACCAGCTCCTTAAATCCCTGCCTGGACAACTCCACCAGCTTTGGGAACGCTGTGCTGAGAGACAGCAGAGCCTGTCTGCAGAGCTCGGCTCTCAGGAACGAGGCAACTGCACAGACAGAGCCTAATTCAAAAGCCATTGCTTAAGAGTTTTCAAAGGTGGGGGGGGGACAGGACGGGACAGAACTCAACTCTCTTCCAGCTGTAAAAATAATCACGGCTTAAAAACTTCCGACAGCCAATACTGCCGCACCACTCTGCACATGTATTTACAGATAAAGGGGGGCAGGAGGGAAGGGGAGGAATTTTTTCCTCTAGAGAGTGGGTTTCTTTTTACCTCCTACTGCCTTTTTCCTAACCAAAAAATAAATTGCCACCTGCCAGAAGTGAATCACTTCTCACTCCCTGCTAAGGGTCTTTCCCATTTTTGTTCTACTTCCACATCAAAAGCCCTACTGAACAGAAGCTCGCAGCGATGGAGCAAGGCAGTTAGGAAAGAAGTGACATTCTTCAGTGGCTAAGCTGTTGACTTTGAAGCTAATTTGGCTGCCTCTGATAAAAGTTTGAGGTCTCAAGTCTGACTTAGTTTCTGAAATATGTCTGAATCATTAAAAGAGGTGTTTACATTCTGGTGTTTACAGACTGGAAAGATTGAAGAGGAATTGAGTTCATCCTCCTCCATATAAACAGAATCCAATTTAAAGCACACAGATGGCTCTCAGCCTCTTCCCAATTCTCTCCTAGCCTCACCTCACTTAAGCAGCGTCTCCCAAAGAACTCCAAGTGCCCTCCTTTTTAACCAGCCTGCAATGTGCTCAAATCTTTGTGGTACCCACAAATTCCCCTAGCCCCTTCCCAACAGGGCTGGAAAGGCAGACACTCACACTACACTGGTCCTGGGTTTCCCCCTGCCCTTAACGTACCATTTCCTACTTATTTTGGGTTCTTTGCTGCTGAGGTTTCAGCTCTGCTTGCTGCTCTGACTGCAAACGTTACCAAATAGACAGACCTGACTGCAAGGTAGGTGGCCAGTATGCGAAGTCTCAGCCTAGCACTCCAGCATGGCAACACTGATGCTGTGCTTACCTACACATCCCAGCTCGCTCAGGCCTGCACGAGTGCTATTCGGGACTGTTACATTTCAGAATTTCTTGCTCTATGTGTTTTCACAAGGCACAAGCCTTACGGTAATAGCAGGACAAGAGCCACGTACTGTGCGTTACTTAGCTCCCTTTTACTCCAAATTAAGGAGAATCAACATTGTAACAAGCTGTCATTTCAGAACCAAAGCATCCGGGTGGCTTGTTTCCAGCTCTCTTTCCTCTCCCTGGTTTACTTTGGCTGAAGCTGTCAGCTTCCCCCTGAAAAATGCCTTTTGGGGGTCGAATTTACTATCTATCCAAAAAAACCACAAAACAATCTCCCAGCTGTATGCAGTGCCAAGTGGAGCCGAGATGCATTAAAAACAAAACAAAAAAAAAACGCAGGACCGATGATGTGTTCCCGAGCCCTTTCCCAGGTGAGGGAAGTAGCTCAGATGGCTGCATCTTTCCACACGCAGCGGGTCCACAGGCACACGCTTCCGTCCGTCTGTACGTACACATGCTCCCACGTATGTGCTGCCTGGGCATACACATCTCTCCCCATGAGAGCTCTGCACCAGTCCTGTTCAAATACCATTTCAGAACTATAAATCACACAGTAATAAGTTGGTTTCCCTGCCCTCAAAAGAATCAGAACTGCCCAAGCCCAGGTCACAGTCTCTGCAGGAGACACTAACTGCGTGAAACCGTCCTCCTGGCCCTCACCTGTGACAGTCGTGCCAGACCCAGGCGTGGCGGCCGTTCTTGGGGCGGAAGTCGGACTGTCCATTGTTGTGGATCTGGGAGGAGAAGCGCAGCAGCCGCCGGAAGCCAGAAGTGACAGACGTGTTGACAGCCGAGCTGGCCAGGCAGTTCTCCTCGAGCGCGCACTGCAGCATGAACATCGGGCGGTCCTCCAGGTAGGCAGTCTGCTCCACCAGCTCCGCATTAAGCACCAGGTCGGGGGCAGCTGGCAGGATGGAAGGAAGTTTTAAATAACTGATGGCCGGGGTGGGGTGGGGGGGAAAACCCAAGTGCTTGCCAGAGATGGAGGCCCATCAGCAACGGTTTGCCATGCTTTTGACATGTCTAAGGCATGGCATGGGCCACCCCATTTCTCCTGCACACCACAGGGCAAACACTTCTGCCAAAATTTAAAAAAAAAAAAAAACTGAGCCACTCACTCTCTGAGCAGGACACACCAGCACCAAAACGGCCACCTCCTCTGGGACAGGAGACATCGGCTCCATCATGGCGACAGTGGGCCAGGGACATCTCTGTGCCTGAACACTTGACGCCGCTCATGACCACGCTGTCAGCAGTGACGTCTCCGTGCCAGTACCAGGTTTCCTGGACAGAAGGGCAAAAAGAGGCATTTCACACACCGTTAGCGGACTGCTGGGGGAACGTTCATACCTGCATAACTTCCATCCTCGCTCGAGCGGACAAAGACACCAGCCCACGCTATCAAGGAGACAGATCGTGCCAAAGGATGCTGATACCTAAGTTAAACCTCAAAGCTTGCATCCCGTAGCTCCCACCTCAGTGCATCTAGACACAGAGCCTAGCTACTAATACTAATAGTTAACTAATACTTCTCGCTATTTCAAGCCTGTTTCCAGAGTTTCAAAAGAGATAGTGGATGTGTTTTGTGCTTGCTTTAATGGGTTTGGGGTTTCAGGGCTTGCTGCGCACTTGATATTTGTCGAAGCACAGGTACAGAGGACACCGCGTCCTGGAGCACAGGACACTGCTCTAGGCAGCATCCCCTGTGTCTCACCTAGTTTCTCTCCACCCTTCCCATCTCTGAACTGGAAAAGAAAAACATTCTGGCAGGTTGCTGATCCCGCTGTCTCTGCTATGAGGGAGGGAGGCCACAGTTCTGTGTTAGACACTGTTGGGGCCATCTGCTCTTTTTAAAAACTTCTGTATCTGAGCTATGCTTAGCCTTCGATGATTAATTAAAAGATGAGATGCTGAAATGCAGTAGCGTTAAATTCACTGACTAGCAGAGGTCTGCATACGTGAGCGTGCTGTCTGCCCTCCTTAACCCCAGGCCCACACCACTCCCTTCTCACCCCAGCCTGCTCTTAAGCATCCTACATACAGTGCTTAGCTAAGCCTTCACAAAGACTAGGGAAGTACTGCTCTGCTATACATGGAGATTTAAAAACAAAAAAAAGAAAAACAGAGAGAGAGTGGGGAAGAGTTTTGCTAAATGACTTGCCAGAAGGGACTGTACAGATCAGGAGCAGAGTAGAAAAGTAACTCAGGAAATGAGTACAAATCTGTTTGAGTAGAAGGCTGGGACTGGGATTAAAACCTAGGTCAGGACAGATTCCCCATCCTGAACATCTGAGCAGTATAACCATACCTCTCTCCTAGTTTTTGAGCTGGTTTAGGTTTAAATTTCTGCTTAGCTTTAATCCAGCTGTAAATTCACTTCTCCACCCTGCTCTGCCCATCTAGCTGATGAATTCATTCTTGGGCTGTTTTAAGTCAGATAGGCTGTGCCTTCAGGAGAGATGCCCAGCAATTAAACCACATCTGCCTTGTGACATCTGTGCCCCGGGGAGGACAGCAGGGAATGCCAGATTGCCCGGCTGCACAAGGAAGGAGAGGCAGAATTAGCAGCCACGCTGTCTATACCCATGGAAACAAGGCATTTGAGGATGACCAGGACTAACAGGGTCTGCGTCTCATGGTTCAGAGCGGGCATTCACAGACATTCAAATCCTGGTCACTCCTCACCTTCATCACTCAGTTTTACAAAACTTGAGGGGGAAAAAAAAAAAAAAAAAAAATCAGAAAATGAACTGCCGCCTGCCAAAGTTGGCCAGCGGATACAGCAGTCGCTGGGATGGACGTGCATTCGCTCCGACTGGTTCCATGAGCCACCGCACTCAAAGATGAGATTCAGACCCTGAATAAACTGGGAATTTGGAAACCCGCAAAGTAGCAAACAAGAAAAAAGAATGTTCGAGGGGAAGGAAAAAAAAACACAGAACAAAAACAACCCACAACCTCTCCCAAAAGATACAAACCCTCCAAACATTACATTTGGAGTCAAGTCTTAAAATCTTCAATTCCCAAAGTTTACATCAGCCAGAGGCAGACCTGGACTTGCCAACCTGTAAACAGAGCACTTCCATGTAGGTCACATCAGGTCTGAAAAGGGCAAAGCACTCGCTGCTGAGAGCAAGAGCCAGAAGGCCACAAGACTCTGAAGCAGAGCAGAAGACTTAAAAGCGGCTAAGTAACGTTCCCTGAAAGACTTGTCTGAAAGACAAGCCCTTGCCCAGCAGCACTACTCTAAATCGAGGCAAATCACAACCCGTCTGTCTCAGTTTACCTCTCCGCAGAATGAATGCGGGTAGATGAGACAGCCCTTTTGTGCTTCAGCCCGCCCCTCTTGTCAGACAGAAGAGAACATCTTTCTCCTTCATCTCAGAGCTCTTCCTATATAAACCACGAGCATTTTTGCTACCTAAGAGCACATCCAAGGAAGCTCTGATCTGAGCAATGCAACGTTACTGAAAACTAAGCACGCTAAACCCCCTGACAAAGCTGCAACTACACAATCTGGGAGAAGGGAAAGGAAGAAAAGAAAAAAAAAAATTCTCATCTGTCTGTCAGTGTGTGTTAGTGACATTTCCAGGAAAAGAAAACCCATCTGTACCATTGCTTCCATTGCAACAGGCTGTTTGTTAACCCTGTTAGCAACACTCTTTGCGGACACGCACACAGGGCTGCCCTGTTCTACACAGTGTAGCTTTATGCTCCTGTAGCTGGTGCAGCCTGGATACACATAAGGGCCTTTTCTGTTCTAAATACCAGCAGTCTCAGCTAAAGGAAAAAATGTCTTGTTTCTTGCTGGACTCTCAGGGCTGTGTCAATAGAGCTGGGCAGCTGGAAAGTCCAGCGTTCAAGGGACGTGGCTATCCTCAGCTCTGGCACTCTGCTTGGCAGCTACGCAAGCAAATCAGCTGGAGGAACCGAGGAATTAGCTCGCATGGGGGGATCGCTACAACAGCGGCATGGGCAGATCCATCCTTCCTCCTCCTAAGATATCTGACCCCAGCGCATCCCTCAGGGACCTGCAGATCTCTCCTCTGGCCCTGGATAACAGTTGCACTGATTGGGATCTGCCTGCCCGTGTGCCCAGGATTTCCTCCAGGGATCCCAACCCGATCACTCATTAGAGAGGATAGGAACTAATTGCAGGACTGGGCTCCCCGGGCAAAGCTTAACTGTCCGGTTTTGCCTAGAGTCTCTCCTGCTTTCTGATAAGCCACAACCAGCCCTGAGGACGCTGAGGTTTGTATTCATTCGAAGGCCTTATGGTTTCTCCCTGCACAAAACCAGCAGTCTGTGGGGAGAGACGTTAATTCTGAGCGGGTTTATCACCGTGGCCCAGCAGACCAGAGGCTGCACAAACACACAGGAGAGCCTACCGGACCCCACGGGCAATCAGGACAGTCTCCGCTCCCGGGGAGGAGATGTGCTGCAACTACATTTTATTATTTGCTATTTGCCTGAGCATTGGATTTCCGGAAATTGTTTGGGAAAAGTATTTTTCCTGCCCAGAACTGACCTAAGGCTGTTTTCTGTGTGCGAGTCGCTGTCTACGTAAACACACATGAAGTTTATTTATTCACTGACAGTTTGAGCCCAAGTTTCCCCCCAGACTGCTGGTGATTGCTGATGCCCAGGCTGAAATGCCTCAAAGGGCCCAGATTTCCAGAGTACAGCAAGACAGCAAGCTCAGACAGGGGATTAGTTTCTCCCAAGGAGAAACCAGCTCTTTTTAGGAGCCCCAATCCCCATTTGGCCAGCGTCCTGGAACTGCAGCAGAGGACCAGAGGAAGTTTTGCCTCAAAGCTCAGAAGTTACCCGTTTCCCCACAAAAGCTGCTCTTGTGCCCAAGTCTGCCTGCCCCTCTTTGATGCCTCTTTCGCTTTGCGATCCTTGAGGGATAGACCAATACAGAAGTATCTCGCATCACGGTTATGGGTCTATGCTAGCTCCTTACACCTGATGCCATTTGCTCATTGATCTGGGGAGTAGGTGGGATGCTGCTGTCCCCCCGGCCTTCCAGTTCTTACAGACTCGTTGCCACTGTTGCCGTTTTCTTTCCCTCCAGCTAGCTCAGCAGGCTGCCATTCCCCATGCCAGACTGCTGCACTGGAAAAAAAACGCTTTACTGCTTTGTAGTTATCCCAAGTTTGCTAGCTGGTGGCTTTTATCCCTGTAAAAGTACCATTCTTAGTCATGTGCAAGCAGAAGGGGGTCAGGGCATTTGTCATCAGAAGAGGAAGAAACATGAACAACTCAGCTAACACACAGCTCCACCACACATTAGTGTATATACCGCCCTGAGAAGAAACTACAGGAGCAAAAAAAAAAATCAAACTGTTTTCAAGTGACCTGACACCAGCTTAAACTTGGCTTCCACACTTGGGGAGTGCAGCTCCCCAAGCTGACCCAGGGAGGGACAAGAAACTGCACACAACTGCCATCCCAACCAGGGCTGACCCGTCTTCCCAGGAATCTGGGCCCCGAGCAGTATGAAAACAGCAGCTCTGGGCAAAGCCGCAACAGCTTCTTCTGCTGTGAATATTCCCCAATGGCTGTTGTGCAATGAGGTTGAACCATCTGGGTCTCTCCAGCTAATGCCCTGAAAGCCAAAGGCTGCTAGGTTCTTTTGTTTGTTTTTATAAGCTTTCCTCCTTCTTTAATAATTCCTGTCCAAATGCACGTGCACTACCGTGGCTGAAACGCCCGCGTGGCGGGGCACGGGGACCCACCTGGAAGGCATGGCTGGCGAACCCCAGGCCCAGCTGCCGACACACCACCATGGCCTCCACGGTGCTCCAGTTCTCGCTGCAGATGGTGCCCCACTTCAGAGTGCCGTTGCGCTCCGCCAGGACTTCCACCCGGCCCTCGTAAGGGTTGCGGCCACCGCTCAGACGCAGCTGCCGGGCATAAAAGCAAATATGTCATTAAATGGCCCAGCAGGCTTTGCAGGGGAGATGCAGCAGTTGGGCTAGCGACACTGAGGGCCTAGTCTTTTCAAGGTTTGTGATTAAAGTCACTGAGCCCAGAAGTCTCAGCCCAGCTACTAGCAAACCACCTGGTGCACTTTGGTTCTTCATCTCCCACCCTGGCAGAACGAAGCAGGTCAGACCTGCAAGTCTAGCTCAGGCCAGCCTCTGAAAGAGGCCCTCACCAGCTGCACGAGAGTGACACATCCCTTGTGAAAGCTTCCCTCTGCCCCCTATGTTGGTTTAAGACCTTTGGCTGGAGAATTTACTCAGAGGATCTTGCATCTGGTTCGCGCAGAAAAAGATTTTAAGCTCCACGTGGCAAAGGTGACAGCAGCACCTACTTCAGGAGCCACCTGGGTGCTACTCTCGTGAGACCCAGCCAAGTATCCCACCAAAACAGGGCAGTGCACCAGCTCTGCTGGGCCACTGGACTACACAGGTCATAGCTGAAGTGACGTTTTTCCCAGTTATAACCCCCCTGTCACGCTTGGAGCTCAAAGCTCATTACGAAAGGGAGCATCATTGCTCAGAAACAGAGGCCCAGCAAGCAAGTGCTTCTGCAGAGGGCTGTTTCCTCCCAGGCAGTGGCACTAAGCAGTAAGGTTTCACATCATGCAGGAAAGCCCAGCAGAAAGCCCAGCATTTGGGGAATTGTTACGCTGCTCGGAAGAGGGGATTTGCTGTCCTTTCTAATACATCACAGACATTAACATCTAAATTGAACAGGCTGGACTTAGAGAAATGATTCCTACACAGATCCCTTGGGTTTGTTCTTCTGTCAAGAATTAGGAGCCAGCAGACAAAGGCGACCAAGGGCTGCAGCAGTGATGACCGAGATGCCTGCTCCAAGGAGCGCCACGACCCTTGAGACACCCTACTTTCCTCCGGCCTTTTCAGCTTTGCAGAGAGTAGATAAAAGGGACAGCACTAGGTCTTGGGCAACATCCTTCCTCTTGCACGGCAGTAGATACAATAAGATACACCCAGATAGCCCAGCAAGGGAGGCCAGACGCCGCTCTAGGAAGAAAACACCTAGCCGTGCTCACCTGCATCCGGATCACTTGGCTGCTCACCTGATTTTGGAAACCCATCGCTGGAACATTGCATCTCACAGCAGCATCTTCTTCATGGTTACAGCCCTGCGACTCTGTGTTGAACTTGCAGTCTGTGATCGATTTTTCAAAGCCTGTACAGTCAATTTCATTTAGATGAATTGGACCCATACCTTGGAAAAAAAAAAACAATAATAAAAAAAGAAAAGGTAGTCGTTATTTTCTGCCTATGCTACTGTGGGGAGAAGAAGTATCTGATAACAGTTTATTAATGCACTGCAGATATCACATTGTCCTCTAGCATTCAAAACCCAGTAATGCTGAAAAAAATCCAGTGTGTTCTTGTACAAAATAAAAAGTTACAAGATTATTAGTATTATTATCTTCACCATTAAGAAATTCTTTCCAGTAGTCTCTGGGACTCAAACACACCAGAAATGCAGAAAAAGCCAAGTTTCCATTGTTACATAATTTACAAACTTCAGCTGGAGGGATTTTCAAATTATGACCTTTTGGCTGGGTCTACAGATCAGGAATCTGCTCTTGATCAAGCCCTGACGTTTAAATGGGACATGCACATGTTCACTGGGGCAACAAAACAGAACGACGCAGGGACGTGGCAGTGAAACACGCTCGCAGACAGGTGTGCTACAGACTCCAACAACACTGACGCAAACGAGACTGCAGCAAAGCGCGTGTAATTTCTTACTGCGGAAAACAGTCTCAAGGCATATCTTAAACACTGGTCACAGCAAGCACAGACACAGGGACAGGCTGAAATCTCCCTTCAGCCTGGCCCACCAGGAAGGCAGAGCACCCACAACCAGCCAGCAGTTGGGAGCTAAAATGCATCATTTGGTTCCTACCTGGACAAATGACAACATATGATTGTCATTTCCAAAGAGACCCATCAAGAGGAGAGACCCACATGGGAGAAGGCGATAGTCCTGCCAGGAAAGTTCCCAGGTCCTGTTTCCAAATGGAGCCCAAAGCTGGTTGGGAAGAAGTTTTAGGGGAAGGAATCAAGGATTCCAGTAGCTCTCCATCACAGAACGACAACCGGAGTCTTTCCTGGAGCTCGTATCATCCACTCATAATCAGTCTGGAAACACACAGGACAGTCTCGATAGGAGGTCCCTGCAACCGGCCGACGTGCAGCGTTTCTAGGACTCCAGCAGTTTCCAGGAAGCTTTAGGAGAGGGGAGGCTGAGGAGACAAACGCTTCTGAACTTTGCTATGAACATGCTCTCTCCAGACTTGGCATACTCAAAACACTGGCACATGCTGTGCTCTGAGCCGCAGATGGCTCGCTTCGCTGTAGCCCACGGTCAGCCCCTGCTGTCTGATCTGCAGGTGCGCCTGTTCCTGGTGAGCCGCCAGGGAGAACAGCGTGATGGTGGTGATGAAAGACATGCAAACCACAAAAGAGGTTTCCAAGAAAGAGGCTTCCACCTGCTAAAACCCTTCATCACCCCTTTCGACCAGTCGCGGGAGGTTAACCAACACCAGATAAAGGAATTGGTGTTCAGCTTGCAGCTCCCCTTCTTGGTAGGCGTAAAGCACCGCAGCAGGCTGCCAGAGGCCAGGCAGACCCGTCCAGGAAAGGGAGGTAGAGAAGCAATAGTTTTCTTACCGTTACCGGCAGCTACTGCTGATTCCTCATTCCTGCAACATTATTCTCAGCACAGCACAAGTGACGAGGGCCCTGCAGAGCCAGAGAGACGTCCCTGCCTCAAAGCATTCCCAATCAGCAGAGAAAAGACCACAGAAACGACACGCTGGCTGCTGGCTCAGTTTCCTCATCCGCACCCACAGATGATGCCATTTTGCCCAACGTTAGGCAAACGTCAGGCAACGTTAGCGCCAGCTGCACTCCGCCAGCAGCATCCCAGCCATGTGCTGCCTCCCCACAAGCCCTCTTTCACTCACTCCTCCAGGAAGGAAAGTTTTACCCAACTTCAAGCCTGTTCCTTTGAGTTCAAAGGAAAGGGCTGACCCTGCAAAGCAGGAAAGGCAATTAGTTTATCAACAGTAGAGGGAACCACTTTTTGCTCCAAAACCTCTTTCTGTCTGGAGCCTTGCTAACCATACGTGACAGCCAGCAGGCAGGGTTGCACACCCGTGACTCAGATGCCTAAATCGTGGGCGACAGTTTAATGATCTGTCTGGTGAACTCCTCACCTCCTCCGACTTCTGCCGGGGCAAAAGGACTGAGAAAACACAACAGAAAAGGCTCTCCAGCATATTTCCACAGTGGAATGAATCAGGATGCATCAGAGAGCCTATTCCTGACAGCAGCAGCAAGAACAACAAACATGCATTTGCTTCTGAACCGATCAGCAGAATCAATCCGGCTCTGGCCACGCGTCTGTGTCGCAGCACTTCTTCCAGCCCTGTCCCCGTACCCACCAGTCACACGAGACCCGTGCAGCGCGGCAGCAGACTCCTAATTGAGGCCAGTCAGGAATGTGCATCTAGCCTTTTTTGCTTCTCTCTTATTAAAATCCTGTTTGTGGTCTACATCTGGAAACGGTGACGCTGACCCAGTCATTCTGCAGCCCGCTGAACGGTTCACGCAGGAGCGGCTCGCTGCTGACCAGAATTGGAGGGTGATGCCCAAAGAATGCAGGATGGATCCAGTCCTGCGTTCTCTGCTGAAATAGCCCGACAAAGTCATACCAATGAAATGACAAAGCAGGAGGGCAGGGCCCCAGCTCTTTGATCCACGTAACCCTGGCACATCTGCTCCGCTCTGGGAAATCCTTTCATGACACGTGGAGGCAGGACAGACCGCTGTGCTGGGCGCTGGAACGCAGCCAAACTGCATTCCCAGATGTGCTCAAAGATGGTGATAAAAATCATATGGCCCCCCTAGTCCATTCCCTTTAGCAGGAGAACAGGATTAGGACTGTACATCCAACATATACATTTACCTACTGCTTGAGGTTTTATTCTATATCCTCCCTCCGAGGCTGCAAGGAATGGCAGGGACCCAGCAACGTTCAGGAGACCTGGACCCAACACCGTCCTTTGCAACAGTCTCTTACGTGAACACGAGCATTGTTTAATCTGGGTCTCAGTTACCCATCTATAAAAGGGGGAATAAACTCTGTCAGTCCCAGAACTCTGTGGTAGACACTTGTTTCCCACAGGTCTTATCCCGAATCTTAATCTCTCAACTTCAACCTCTAGACACGAACTGCATACTGATCTACGTATAGCCTGTCCCTGCGTGTTTTAGCCTATGAAACTAAATCTCCAACACAGCAGTGATGAAACTAGTCATTAAAATTTGTATTTGAACACACAAATTCACCAAGATCCAACAACAAAACAGAAGATAAACATGTAAATGGACACAGAGTTCAGCAGCTGTGGGATTCCTCTGCGCAACAGGAGCGCGGAGGTCAGTTTGGGCCAAAAGAGCTCCTTTTCCTACCGCAATATGATGATCCTGCTGCTGAAGGGAGTTACCAAGCGCTTGTCATCCCAGAGGACAGTTTCGACAGGGCGCGCAGATTGATTGCTAGCGTTTAGCATTAAAAGAAAGGAAAGCATGTGGGAATCGGCAGCCACTGCTAAGAGTTTCCACGCCGTGGGCGGGGGAAAACGCAGGGAGCGGCACGTTCTCGCCCATCACGCGGCAGCCACTCTTCTTCCCCCTGCGATGATTATGCCGTTTCCTAGATGCTCAGCAGCAGCAGCTCACTGCGTCCTACCACAAGACCTTCTGGTAAATCCCACAGACAGGTCACATTTAAAAGCTTCCCAGATTCCGGGTAACACCACTGTTTTATACACATGTTGCTACTCTCCCTCCCGTCCTCCAAGCCATGCTGGTCTGGAGGAGTTTCACCCATTCATTTAGTTCCACAACAGGGGTTTTGGTTTGGTGTCATTTTCTTTAGGGCTTATGCTGTGGGAGCATGGCCCGTGAATCAGAAGGTGGCTCAAGGAGGAGTTTGTTAGGCTTTGAGATTAATAGTTGCCATTTACCAGAGTTTGGCATTTAAACTAGCTCCCAAGTACAGGAAATCCAAACCCAAACCAGGCTATAAACTGTACAAATGGCCCTTCTATTTATAACAAGTTAAATCAATGTTTTGGACTTAAAATGGAAAGTATCTGAAAACTAGACCTAGACCCACTTTTGCCAGGAACCTTCTAGTAATGCATTACACCATGATGTGTATCTAGAGAACTTTTAAAGCGAATTTGAGTGCGATGTGATAACAAACAAGTAATTGCTGCAACAGCTCTTCAAGGGAAAGGTTAAACTCATCATCACTGAAGACTGAATATCTGCCTAAGTCACACACTCTAGTTCAGCCTCAAGCTCCTGGACTCAAGAGACTTTGATTATTAAGAGTAGAGAATAAATTCCTGCTCCCCAAAACACACATCCCAGTGAAAACACGCTCCCTGCCCTGAATCACAAAGGATTTTTCAGAGGAGGACAAGGCATGAACAGTCCACGAGGCTCTCATCAGTCTTACCTTGCCCGAGCCTTGCTCCTGTTATTGCTTCCCTTGCGCTCCCGAAGCCCAGCTCTCGACACACCACACTCGCCGACACGAGGTTCCAGTTATCATCGCAAACTGTTCCCCACTCTCCATTTTTCAGCACTTCAACTCGTCCTTCACCGGTGTTGGCTCCTCCTTTCAGCCTCACCAGCGGCTGCTGGAAGACACAGACAGAAGCGGTGTTAGTGCTGCTCAGGAACGAAGCAGCCTTCCTCTACAGCTCTTACCCCAGCAGCATGTGGCTGCAAGTAAGTTGTTAATGAGCTCAGGCCCCAAAAATACTACCCTGAGGCATCTTAAAACAACCATCACGTAACACAAATGGTAAAGGCTGCCAGACGAAAGATGAAATCTGCTAAGATTCATGGTATGCATGACGTATAATTTTCACGTCCCTATATGTGGGCTGAAGATAAATAAGACATCTTGTTTGCTGCAGTTGCAGTGCTTGGGTTTAGGAACCTTTTTCACACGAACAGTCCCGTGGCAGAACGGTGCCACGCCACACAGGAACAGCTGGACGTGCAACTCAGCCTTCACACCACGTCCCTCAGGAGCTTCATAGGACGCTTGGGAACAGCGCCTCTTCTCCCCAAGCCAGCCGACGCACCGCCGACCGGCGGCAGCACGCGCCCAAACACCTTGCCTCTGCCCCAGGGCAGCGAAGGGCGTCTTGGAGACGCGATACTCAAGCCATGTAAAATCTGTCTGTCCACTGCAGTTGCAGCTAGTAGAACAAATGATGTGACAGAGCGCAATTAGAAACACAGAGCTGGGTGACAGGTTCAGTTCCCTTCATTTCTGTTCTTATTATATTTCTATTTTCATTACGTTTCTGCTGGTCACTGACTGTAAATTCTTTACAGCTTTCCCCAGTACCAAGCAGAGAGACCTGCCAGCTGCTGCTGCTGCATCTGAGAGATGCGCTGGTGTGGTGGGAGCCATGCCTTAGGTTTGGGAACACAACATGGTTTGTGCAGACTCCGAGAGCAAAGAAACATAACTTTTAAAGCTGGAAGCATATACAGTTCTCCAGCCTGGGGTTATGCGAAGGCCATCCAAAGCCTACATGGAGGCTTAAGGAATTACATGGCCGCTCGCATGGCTCAGAAATTCGCTATGATTTACAAGACCTTTCACCTCTAAGGCCTAGACCCTGCAAACTCTTGTGTGCTGACATGACTGGACTCCAGGCAAATAAGTTGTTCCCGCTGCTTAGCACTTTACTCGAGCAGTGCCTGCAAGGTGCTCTCTGGCGTCTCGTCAGGGGCAGGAGAGCACCCCCTCTTACAGCCACAGAAGTACAGGGCTGGGGACTGCTACCTCCAACCAGGGGCTACAGGCATCGTCCGGAACACCTGATGCACCCTGCGAAAGACTAACTCAGCTGTAAGGGCCTCCAAACCTCGAGATCACCACAGCGTCCCAAGGTTGTCTGTACCTTATGGCTGAAGTACTTCCGTTAGCATCAACCTAAATCACCTTTGCTGCAAGCTAAGCCTATTGTTTCATATCCATTTGCTCCAGCCACACTGGGAACAACTGATCCCAGGGTCTCTTTATAACAGCTTTTTGCATATCTTAAGATTTTTATGCTACTCTTCAGGCCTCTTTTGGCTAGACTAAACACACACAACTTTATCAACCTTCCCTGTAGGACACATTTTCCCAGCTTCTTGGGACACTTCTTTGGGACATTTATTTGCAGAATACGCAGGAGTAGTAGACACACCAGCTTACTTCCACTGTATCTCTACAGGAGACACAACCCAGCAGCGTTTTAGTGACTGCGAAGCAGCAAAGCCCAGCAGCAACTGGGCGTGCATTCAGTTGGCTTGAGCAGAACAGCTCAAATAGAAATGTGACAAATGTATTTTCCTACTATTTGCTCACAGCCGTGCCAGCTGCAGCAGTGAGCAAGTCTCCCACCCTGCTAAGCCTGTAGACAGAGGCCTGGTACCGCACAGTTGTGAGGACAGCAGCTCAGCTGGGCTTGTAGGGAGAAAGGAATATAAAGAGGGGACATTTGGCCAACAGACTGGTTTGTGGCCAGGGGCGCACATATGTTCAGGCCCCACAGCTAATTACATCCTTAAATCCAGGCTTCTCCTACTTGACAGGGTGAGTTCACCCACTCCTCACCTCCTGCCTGAAGGCTTTTCGGAAGCCGCTGTGGCTGCTTGGGGCGAAGGCACGTCCGGGGACGCAGCTGACCACAGCAGGCATCCCGTTCTCGCAGGTCGCGTTCTTCTCCGTGTCCACGTTGAGGTGATTGCCCAGTTTGCAGCTGGAGATGTGAGCCTCGTTCCCACTGCAGTCCATTGAGTAAGCCCAGTAATGCTGCTTCCTTCTGCTGGCAAACATCCTTAAGGGAATAAAAGGGAACAAGAAGAAAAGAAGAGTTAGTAAAATCCATCAGAAAATAGTCAACAGCAAGAATTTCCTGTGAACAAAGTGGTGGAACTCCCTATGTCATAAAATTGCCGAGATAAATCCCGGGGCTGGATGCATTTTTAAACACTTGGTTAACTGAAGCCTATCCCTGAATTTCTGGCGCAAGGATGAATACAGGAGGTTTCATTAGCCCTTTGCTACCTACAGCGCTCCACGAAGAAAAGCTTGGGGCAGAGAGAGTCTAGCACAGCCTCCTCTTGACAATTGCACTGATGTAATTTCATTTGGGGGGGGGGGGAAAACCCCACACACCTTGAAATAAAATGAGGACTGAATAGCATTATTTGAAGGTTGATCCATTCATACACATAGTGCCTCTATTAAGGTGTCACTTGGCAATAAATAAGATGCCTACTTAAGCTGGGGGGGGTCAGAGATCAGAGCTGAGAGAGTTAATTCTAAAAGACAGGGTGCAAATAGGGGCCGTGCAAACAACACTGATGAGTTCGGATCAGAAAGGCCCTAAGAAAATCTGTCCCTTAAATAAGCTGTTCTCTTTGCTGGCCCTCACCCACCAGCAGTGAGAAGATGGCAGCCTGGGAAAAAGCCACAGGTCTCCGGCTTCCCTCAAAGCTGCAGTGTTAACAACTGTGAGCCTGAAAGCAATTTCCGAGAGCACGAGCAATTCCCTTGATGACATGTTCACGGCAGAGGAGATTGGCAGCAGTTTCTGCTTCTTGCTCCCAAACTGGAGCGCTTGCTTGGAGCTGCTCCAGGGACTAAGGGGGAAGGGGCGCGTGTGATAAATGGGAAAATAATCCAGCTTCACCACAAAGCTGCCGGAAGACTATATCGGAGCTAAAATAATCAAAGAACCAGAAATATGGGTCAAAGCATTACCAAAAGGGAGATCTTAAAAGTTAAAAAGAAAGTCAGTCAAGGCACAGAGGAGCCAATGCCTTGCTGTGATCTTGACGTGGCTTTGTGAGATCCCTGAGCTGTTCCCTCTTCTGGGACTAACTGCCTTGCAGCTCCTGCAATCCAAGGATTAGCTGTGATAAACGGCATAGCGACGTAGGGGGAGTCTGCTGGGAAAAGCAGCATCAACTTTAATTAAACTGTAACACGTCCCTGCAGGACAGACAGCCTGAACAGGATCTGGTAACGGAACAGAGTGCCTTTTATAGGTTATTGGTTTGAATCTAAACTTGGACAGGTTACGACCGAAAGTTACTCCCAGCTGATACACTTTGGTGCTTCCACACAGGCTAATCTGCGCCATCTCAGATGCTGGAGAAGACTTTCTTCTCCCGCTTCTGCTCGCTGCGCCTTGCTGCCAAGCTCAGCAGTCATCTAGGCTCATACGCCTCACAGCCACAAATTAATCCTTTCTGGAACCAAATTTCTCTGGCTTGAGGTTAGGGCCAAATACAGCCAGGCTTAGGCTAGAGCTGCAACTGCATCCTGTGATGGGGAGTAAACACCCCTCTGGGAAGGGTGAAGGAGGGGGCAGGACCAGCAAACGCAGGCCTGAGGTCCGTCTCATGGAGCAGCAGCAGGCAACCTGCCTGTCCTGTGGGTAAAACGTTGCCTGTCAAACTCCAAATGAGAACTGTCAGGGACTCTGAACTGACAGAAAATAAATGGGATAGGAAGAAAGGAATTAAAAAAAGAAAAGGAAAAAAAAAAAACCAGGGAGGACGCAGGCAGAAAGCAAGCGCCAGCCACTTCTCAGCCAGGATGTCTGGTTCAATTTTGGACCAAACCTTGAAGCTTTTTCTTCCTCTTAATTAAACTGCCCAGGATACTACATGCCTACCAAAAGGCAGTGCAAGCCTGCGTCTAATGCCCTTGCACTGCTAGAGCTTGGCACCTGGGTCCCTTAAACGTTAACAACTTCTCTCCTGGGTTGCAAAGTGACCAGGCAGATTTGGGCACACTTTACACACCGCAACGCATCCGCAAGTGCCCAACCTCAGGTGACGTTACTCCGTGTTCTCCTAGCAGGAACCAGCTCTGCTCCCCCTCAGAGGTGCCCTGCTCCAACGTCCTTTCATGCTGTTTGTTCCTTGTAGGAGCAAGAACGTGGAGTGTTTTCACGGCAGGCCCTCCACACACACATGTATAGAGACCTCCTGAACTCCAAAAGCAGACAAGAAACACAGCCTGCCTTAGAGAAGTAATTAAGGGGATGCCTTACAATAGCAAACAATGACCTCATCCTGGAAATTTCTTGAGGCATTAACATCTGGTTGATATTAACAGCCCTTGGTAAGCTAAAAGAGAAATAGCCAGAGAAAGCCCCACCTCATTTCCCTGGACTGAATTTAAAAAAAGTAGAATACCTATGATCTCTACAGCCAGAAACTCGGGGCATTCTTGTTATTTAATTTTTAACACAGAAAGTGTGTAACCCCCCTCTCATTGGCCTAGGCGTAAGCCAAGAGCAAACCTGCTCAGAGGCATGAGTGAACAGTCATGCTCTGAGAGTTTAGCCAACTCCAGGTCACGTTGGAACCTAAAAGATTTCTACTGATCAGGAGAGATGGACCTTCACCACACAAGCTTTAAAAAAAGACATAGCCGAAGCCCAGGGGCTTTGGAAAGCATCTCAAAGTTCAGCTAAGCAACCTTGCTGGGGTAAGAAAGCGTGCGAGGGGACTCCGGGGCCAGGCGAACAAGTTCATTACAGGAGAGCAGAAAACAAATGATTGCACATATATATATATTGGGAAAATGCACCCATCACACACTGAATGGAAGCTGGTGAATTCCTCTTCTGGCGCTGTGAGCATACGTTTCTGGTGCTAAGAGCAGTTTCTACACCCTGGCCTAACTCTTCAGGCACTTGCTGAAGTTAGCAAGTCTACTTGCAGAAGAGAAGCCAGACCTGCCGCCATCTGCCAAAGCCCTCAGCAAAGCCAGGTTTGTAGGGAGAACCCAAACCACGCAGGTTTCTGGTACAGCCATACTAACTGGCCTACACATCTGACCACTTTTATAATGCAGTGAGCATCTCCCAGCTGCAGAGAAGAAAGGTCTGTTTGGACCGATACTGAATGAAACATCCAGGAACCGCTGAGCTCTTCCACCCTTTGACCACTCCTGGACAAATCACAAAGCTGTAAGAAGATCTCAAGAAGGCATCAAGGTTCATCTCTCTGCCTTAGGCATCTCAGGTCACAAACTCATACTCTCCCCATCAGCTAAATGCATTTATTCCTACTTCTCTCTCTCAACCAGGGCAGGGGTTTGCAGGAGGAGTTAACAAACACTTCTTATATAAAATAGCTTTGAAGAATGAACAAGAGCACGGAAACAGCACTGAGATCTGTTTCGTTTCCTAACATAAATTGCGCTGTCAACTGCACAGCCTAAGTTACATTCAGGAATAAAACCTTGGCATAGGGACAACAATGAACTAAGTTGTTTTCTTCCAAGTCCATCTGCAAATCATTTCAACTCCCACCATTGTGCAGCAGCAGAGCCTAATATCAGTTATCTCGGCATGTAAAGCCATAGTTTGTGGGGAACGGGATGGCTGTGGCTAGAGGAAGGGGCACTCACAGCCCCAGTCAGCACAGCTGCATGAGCCAGCCCGAAACCCAATTCCAGCCCGAAACCCGATTCCAGCCCCTGCCTCCCAGCTGTGGATTGAGCGCAGGAAAGGAGCCACTCTTGGGAGAACAGTATTTACAAATTAGGGAGAGCAAAGCCCGAGAAACGAGAGAAACGTTTCCGAGGCTTCACACTCACGTGGAGAGAGGGTTTAGTCCAAGTGACCAGCCAGAGTTGGACTCTTCCCTCCCCAGAACAGGATGCGACCAGAAGACGTGTGGGATAAACCACAGAGCAGCGCTCTCATGGCCCAGCCGAGCGGATTGCAATGGTTGTCATTCCAGCATCCTGATCACAAAGCAAAGATCACTTCCGAAGTTCCCAGCCCAGATTTCATACAGGACCACAGACTGGGAGTTGTTCCTCACCAGCAAGCTTACCAGCAGCGCTGGTTGTACTTGATGCATATCCTAGCTCTCTGACCAAGAAGAGCTAGGTGTATCTACCCCTGAACCTGCTTCCGTACCGAAGGTGTATCTACACCTGAACCTGCTTCCGTGCCGTTTAGGCACAAGAAGGAAAACAGCTCTTTAAATTACACTAACCAAACAAAACTGACAAAGTTTTACTCAGGGGGAGTTATGAGCAAAAGCCCAAACTCTTTTCCCTCCAGTAAAGTGACATCCTGTCTTGTTCCAGCCTGGGAGAACATTCAGCATATTTTTCGAAATATCTTTCTGTGGGTGCAGGAGCCCAGTAAGCCATCACTGCTTGCAGAAAATGAGCAAAGATGGGGAAGGTATCACGACACCAGGACTGCTCGAGTAACCTTTCTGATTTGGTGCAGACATCCCAAGCCTGGGAAGCACGGCATGTTCCTAACTCCAGCTCTGGTGAATGGGACTTTCAACATCGCTGACTATCAGGCTGAACAGCTGCGCCTAAGTTTTTCCATCTCTACATGTGCTATTGTAAGAGACAGGACAATTACCAAGTACCCTTTTATTTAAGGCAGATGGCTCCAGCTGCAAAAGTTAATGCTTTTCTTGGAAATACCACAGCTATGGAGGAGGAAAAATCCTACTTCATCTTACTAGGGGTAATTTATTCTGCGCTGTTGCTCTGATGCAGGGGACGGGAATCTCAGAGCTGAGTCTGAGGGAGACATGTTATATGGACAGAAGCAAACACTCCTCTAACTGGTATCCAGGGCAAAACATGAGGCTGCCTGGTAACAATTATTAGCTCCATGGGAAGGCTGAAAACAAAATTCCAGTTGGGTTATTTATTTTATATTCTTTCTGCTGCTATGTGGCTTTATGCTATTTCAACCCAAGGACCTCTTCAATTGATCATGATCTTGCTAATGAAAGGACTGAAAGGTGGCTGGTTGGTTCCAGGGGGAGCTTTCAGAAATAGCAATTGCATGGGCCAAGAGGAGCAGGCAGGAAAACCACAACCCCTGCCTGGAGAATTCAGTTCTCCCCCTAACCAGCTGGCGCTTTTCCACTCCATAGGTCACACAGTAGAGGAAAGAAACAAGATAAGCTTTAACCTAAACTATTTTGCATCTGCTCTAGGGTGTTATTTCTAGGAAACTGTGTAGGAAGGAACACGTCTGCGCTGAAGGCTAGCGACAGAAAGCAAGCTGAAACAATGACAACAAAAAAGACTAGAGCTCCTGACTGTCAAGAAACAGCAGGAAACGCAGCTTGAACACGCAGGAGCTGCATTAAGCTACGAAAGACACAAAGTTCTCCCTATGGGTCACAGTTTTCTTCCCTCATTTTAATGCAATCTATGAATATAGGAAGAAAAAGCAGCTCTAAAATCACAGCTGCCCCAGCCTGCATCCTTCTAGTCCATCTCAGATGTGCAGGCAGAAGCAACGTCGGGAGCAGCAGCATGGACACACTACTGACATTTCTAGCTTAGCACTGAACTCTGCTCAGAACAGGCTTTAATGGATAAAGCAAGTCATACAGTTGGAGGTGGTTGGCAGCTCTTCCAGACTGGGGCCCTGAGGAGGAATTGTCAGCGCCAACAACGCTAAACTGGGGTTAGCAACAGTGGGAGATTTACTGGGAAATATTCCCCTGGGTAGACTGCTCCTTTGTGGGCGATTTGGCAGCTGGACGCCCAGAGCCGTGAAAGGCAAACCTCCATGGGAGCCAAATGCCAAAGCAGCTGGTAAACACAGGGAAACATGTCATCAAAGGTGTGAGGGCAGGAATGGCATGCAATAGCAGAAAGGAGGAACCTGGGCAATGAAGCAAAACAAAGACACATTTGATTGCAAGATTACCCAGCTGAAGCTTTCAGCACATATCAGACCTGATCCTACACCTGACTCTCTACAGAGGGATGCGATAACTGCTTAGATTTGCCTGCAGCTGATGGGTTTATGGACAGAGTATAGTCAGTTTGCTCACATACGTACATCTCTGCACACACCAGAGAACCAAACCCTTCACTGGTGAGGGAAATGACTCTCCCATGGCTGGAAACAAAAAAGATTTCTTGGGCTGAATGACCACGACTCCTACTATAGCACCTACCCAATATTAAAACCGATACTGCACGTGGTCTTCATCCAGAAGGTGAGAATCAAACCATTCCCCTGTCTGCACAAGGAAATGCTTGACGTTTCAAATATTTACACAGAAGGAAAATTTGATCTGAAGGAAGGAAGCCGTTGACAGAGGCTTTTCTACCTCAAGGTCTCAGTGTCGTTTGACAATTTGCATTTTTGAACAAGGCCCCGAGTGTTCAAAGAAACGTGCCCGTGTCTCATACAAAGCCCTGCTCTTACTTGTAGACCTTAGCGTTGTACTTCCTCTCACTCGGAAATCCAAACATGCCACAGACGACTCGGGAATTTTTCATGGTCCACTGCTTGTCACAGATCTGCTTCCAGGCCCCTCCTTCTTTCACTTCCACATAACCTTCTGTGACAGGCACCCGCTTACGGTAGGTGGCGAGGATGGCACGGATTCTTATGTCTTCCACTTGGATGTTCATGTTCTGTGAGCAACAAACAAACAAAATAAAAAGAGTAAATGACGCTGGCTTGCAAGGAGACTGGTTCTGTGGCTTAGAGATGGGGAACAGAAATCAGTGCATCAGGGGTGCAGCAGAACAGAGGGAGGAAGGAAGAACAACTGCTAGAAAAAGTCACCACAGGGAGGTAAGCAAAGCTTTCCACCTTCTTCAAATCCTTCCTCCATCCTGCATAAAATGTTTTTCCTCATTTAAAGAGAAGCATTATTTAACAAGTCACTACACAACAAACCTCCTCTGTTACTTAAATTCATTAGAAGTGCTTGTTTCAGAGCCACAGTGACCTTAATTCAGTCTCAGCTATTATGGAAGTGAGTCGAGAGCAGCCTAGGTAGGACCGCTTTAATGCTGGCAGAGTGCAGGGAAGGGGGAGCCCCGGCAGGGAACAGAAATCGGGGCTCCCCTCACCACAAGGCATCCCTTCCCCACCTGGCCTGGGCGCTACAGAAGCTGGGGTCCGCATTTGCTGACATGGACATTCACCACTTGCTCAGGCTGGATTCCTCTTTCGTCTGCAGCGTTACTCGGGGCGGCAAGTGAGTCATGGAGGTTGAATGGGTTTCACATTCGGAGCCTACGTGAGGACACTGCGCAAACAAACCTCGCAGGCACCCAAGCCCAAAGCAAAGGCTGACTGGAAAATATCTGCTGTGGCAAGCAATTACAAAAGAGCTACTGAAAATTTTATAACTTGCTTCCAAGAGAGCTTTTCTAGACAAAAATATATAAGACCACGTGGCTCCCCAAGCAGTTACATCAGAACAGAGGAATTCTCCTCTCCTCTCCCTCAAATTCAATCACTTGGAAGATAAAAAAAAAGTCCAGAGCTTTAAAGAGACACGGGCTTCTCTAGATTACTCCAATCAATAACAGATAAAGGGATTAAAGTTAGGGAGGTCACATTAGGATTTGCAGAGCCCTGCAAATAGATGTGGCACATCCATTCCCCAGATGCATCACCGACACCGATGCAACTAACAGATCCTTGGGCTTTTTTTTTTTTTTTTTTGCCCTCAGGAATTCAGTCCTGCAGCAACTCAACTGGAGCATCCCCAAGACACCCCCAGCGACCTCGGAAAACAGGACCTGATCCCATCCCGAGGTAGTTTCCACTGCCGGTAGGGTCCAAGCCTCACAGTGCCAGGAGGCAGAGACCACAGCGCAAAGGGGCTCAACAAGCTTGTGATCTACCCAGAAGGAAAGTCCCACTTGGACAGGGCCAGGTTCATAGCTTAGGCTCAGATTTTTAAACCCTCTTAAAATATATCTCCCAGTTTGTTACATCTGAGATGCTTCATGATGTTCAGACAAAGGGCCTGATGCAAGTGCAATGAGTTCTCACAACTGGAGGCTTAATCCTTAACAGAGAGGCTGAAAACCTGTACATCTCCTGTGTAATCCGGAAAGTCCATTTGCAATACAGAGTTCCTCCTCTCTTTGGCAGATTCTCCTGAAATACTGCGTTGCTTTTGCCTCCGTGCTGTCAAGAAAGTATCTGAGCCTTTGTGCCTTGAAGGCCTTCCAAGACTGGTTTTCACAGCCTGCAATTCACTTTTCTCCACTGCAATTTTATGAAGTGTTTCCAATTCTTCACTTGGTGGAGAAAGCACGCTCACCTGGAGCTACAGGGCACTGCCTCCTGACAGAGCCCCTTATGTCTCTGCTCTAACTCCTCCTGAAACTGTGCCTCAGTTTTTTTTCACCAGGAAACAAGAGGTAATAAAAGTCTTAAACCGTTTGGAAATAGCTTTGACTGCTGAGGATCTAAAAAGGTTTTTAGTAAAAGCTTATTACAAGGATTAACCCAAAGGACAGAAAGTCAAAGCTTAAAATGGTACTGGAGAAGCACAAGAAAAGATAGTAGTTGAGGAAATTTGCACTGACAGCTGAGAAAGTGGGTGAGAGCCTAAGTGATTTTTTCCATCTGTGACTGCAGGATATATCCGCCCTATATAAAGCCCCGAGCATGTTTGCTACGCATAATTACGTCACTATCAGCCCTATGCATAGTCAAGTCACGGAAATGGAATATTTTCCCCGACCAGACCTGACATCAGCAGCGGGTTGAAATCCACCCAGGGTTTTCAGCTGATGGCCACTTCCACGTTGTTCGAACTTAACGCAGCCCAGAGGCCTCGGCGTGATGGAGAAGGGCTGTTCAGAACCAAGTGTGATTCTGCATGCAGGAACGATGTTCAAACATGCCTGCGTTTTGCAAGGAAGCTGCGTGACAGCAGCTGCTAGCCTCATCCGAGCCGTGCGGAGCGCCATTCCAGGTGTTAAACATCTGCCTGCTGCTTCCACCACAAAAGAACAGAATCCTTATTCCCACGTTGCATCTATTAGTCACCGTTAATAGGTTACTGTGCTCACTGCTGCAGCATCAGAGATCTTCACAGAAATGGAAGCTCCCTTATCCCAGGGGGTGACAAACCTGAAAAGCCTCCAAGGTAAACAGAGCACTCAAAGGATGGAGGAAAGAAAGTATTATCAGCCTCCTTCTGCAGATTGAGAAATACGGTGAAGAGAGATCAATCCACCTCTCCAAAGACCTTAAGGGCAGGGAACTGAATCCAAGTATCCTGAGGCCCAAACTCTAACCTCCAAATGAAGCTCCCTCCTGCATTAGGGAACGTCAGCTAACCCTCTAGTGCTAAAGAGTACATTTGGGTTTCTTCCACCTTCCCGCTCCACCAACCTAACAGCAGCTGTGTTGCACAAAACCAAAGACATCCAGCCTGTCTCTGACAGATGCCAATAACATACGCTGAGGAAAGAGTATCTGATCAGAGCAAGCATGCAGCGATACTTCCCTGCAGCTTCCGAGCATCTGTATCTCACGGACTTCCCAAGCCAGAGGTTAACGTTCAAAAGCCCCAGATGGATTTGGGAATCCCTTGCTGTGACGTGCTGGGATTTATTACATCACAGCAACGAGCAAAGGAAGAAATTAGCCCCCCCTCCCCCCAAGTTAGAGGAGGGGAAGAGAGACCAGGAACTCACAAAAATTAAAAACTTTTGAAAAAAGGAAAGCACAGGAATGCTGTTAGAGAGACCTACTGATTTGCCTGTTATTTTTGCAATTAGTTCAACAGCTTAGCAAATAAGCACAGGTTTCTGCATCCGTTCCCAGAAGAGCTCTGACCACTGCAGCAGCGGGGACGCTGGGGTGGCACTCAGGGCCCCCGAGTTGCTCCGACGGGGAGCGCGGTGCCCACAACCCAGTGTGGGCTCGGGGCACCTGCGTTCCCTGCTTCCAGGCTCTGCATCTGGGCAAGTCTTCTCCACCAACTCTGACTGGGCTGGGTTGTCCTCGCTGGTCATTTTACAGAAGTGAAAAATAAGGGGCAAACTTAAACGGGGCTCAAAAAACCACTGTCAGAGCCAGCACGATACCTCAACAGTGCAGACTCTCGGACAGAGGTCCCACGACACGCGTCTCCCCCCAGAGATGCTGATACACACACACAGAAATCCTGCTCCGACTTGGGACTCCGCATGAATCCAACTCTTGTGTCCTGCCTTTTTGTCTGTATTTGCCAGGGGGTGGGCGGGGGGGGGGAAAGCAACCTAGCAAGAAATAAGTTATCGTTTCATTCTCTTGAGGGTATTTCAATCTTCAGATAGCTATAGCAGACCAGCACACAATGACGTTTTCAGGACCTGTCTGAGAGCAAAACCAATGCACAGCCACTCCCCATTCCGCTCGCAGAGAAGAGGTCTAGAGCAGAGTTACTGATATAGCAACTCAAGGGTTTGCAGAGCCTGAACAAACAGCAAAACCTCTGAGAGAAGAATTTAAAGCACTGTAGATCTCAGCTTTATATTGCAAGATTAAAGAACAAAGCGGTCAAACTAAGTATAATAAAGGTTTCCCAATGAGAATGGATCGCTAAAAGCTTTCTCCCAATCACTCTTCACAGACTTGAATCATTTCCTTTCACTGCAGAGTTTTTGTCACACTGGGAGTATTCAATCATGCGAATACAGGCAGCATGTTTCACCTTCCAACACCGACGCGTAGACCAGCTGGGTAATGATGAAAACAGACTCCACATAAAAATCAGAAGTAAACAACATTAAATAGCTGAAGCAGACCTTTTGTTTGTTTTGTTTAAATTGCCCTCCCTGTAATTTATGTACACGCGGAGAAAAATACCTGCAACAAGCTGTCACGTCAACAGGAAAATCTCACGTCCGCAAGACTTTAACTTAGTCTCATCTTATAACTGTAGAGAGCAGCTACAAGGTAAATCTGGGTCTGGTAAATCCCCCAGCAAGAGCAGGATTGTAAGCTGCTTCCCACCCCCAGGATCTTGTCCTGATGGCTGTACGCCAGCTGGGGGATACAAACAGGCAGCAAAAAAGGATGCTCCGCTGGTAAGAGTTTACAGCTGGTGAAATCACAAAGCAGATTCTGCGGCCGAAGCAGAAGCTGAACACACATCTGCCAAGCTCCCACTCCAGATATCAACCAGAAGGTAGAGCCTTCAACAATACCTGCTTCGGGAGCCCATATAGTCATTCAGCAGAGAGAGACGTTACCTCTAGGAAGTAAAACTGGGCTGACCGCAACCCACGTTAGGTAGATTTGGAAACAGAGGCCCAACCCCCAAAGCCAGTGGGACCTGGCGCGCACAGTCCGAGGCCGAAGAACGCAATGCAGGAAGGGGGCGAGAGCACCACGCACAAACCCAGGACTTGGCTCCCTCCCCGCGATGATCTGGCCCATGGGAAAAGTGCTGCTGGGAATTTCTACCCGCACAGCACGAGAGACCAAACCCAGAAAGAGTTAACTCTCATGGCTCACGCATGCCGGTCCTCCCCTTCTGAGCGAGCCTTGTGCAATTTCCACCTATTTAGGCCAACAGCTGTGGAGACGTAGGTGCCAGCCTTTTTTTTTGTTGTTGTTGTTGTTAAAACTCCAAATCTTAGAATTCAGCTACAAGCTTAATTCAGACCTG